ATGCATCCTAGCAATACCCTAGCAACCACCCAGAACTTCCTAGCAACAACCCATGCATCCTAGAAACACCTTAGAAACCACCTAGACCATCCTAGCAACCACCCATGCATCCTAGCAACACCCTAGCAACCACCTAGAACAACCTAGCAACCCCCAATAACTTCCTAGCAACTACACATGCTTCCTAGCAGCACTTTAGAAACCACCTAAAGCAACCTAGCAACCACCTATGCATCCTAGCAACACCCTAGCAACCACCCAGAACTTCCTAGCAATGCATCCTAGCAACACCTTAGAAACCGCTTAATTCAAGATAATTATTCCTTGAAGACAGCTGTGAACTGATTAGCTGATTAATAGAATCAACCAACAGTTTCAGTTTCAGAATAAACCAACAGGTTTTTTTTTTTTTTTTTTAACCTGAGACAAACCTTTCTTGTCTTCAAGCAGCACACTGCACGGACACCAGGACAAAATCATTATTCTGTATTTGTACAAGCTATAAATAATGACAGCTTATTTTAGTGTGAACTGTTCCTTTAAACATTCATCTCAGTGTGATTGCATGCCTGCTCTTTTACAAATAATAGCACAAACATATAAAGCGAGCAGTCGGTGTATGTTGCGCGGCTCGGACACGTGTTGTTTAGACGTGAGTAAGACCTGCTGCGAGCCAAGAAACAAACCACACACAAGCACACAAATGCTCAAATAACACACAATGTGATGAAACAGAAGAAATGACAGGTCTTTTTTCTGAATTGTGACATACAGTCAAACCAAAATTTATTCAGACACCTTCAACATTTCTCACATTATCAGTTTATTTGCTATAGTTGAGAAAATGGTAATAAAATATGAGAAGAGCTCAGAGTTAAACTGTCAGAACAAACTCATCTTGATAATGTCAGATAACTTTGATAGAAAGGTATGTAATGAATTCGGTTGAATATCTGTCAGCTGTTAAATTTAAGAACACAATTAGATAAAACCAATTTAGCTCAACTAATCACCAAGCAGTGCTTCATTCTGTTCAGTCTGTGGTGTAAAAAGATCACGTTAGCAATTAAAGAAAAACACTTCAGCAAAACATGCTCAGCTCAAAGTGTCTGAATCATTTTTGATCCGGTAGTCCACTGTATGAAGAATTATGGGTATAATATGACACAGTTTGCTTTATTTTGCTCTCCTCACTTACATAAATGAACTATAGTGTCCTGCACACACTAGTAAATAAACATCAACAATTATATATCTGCTGTCTGAATCATTTTTGGTTTGACTGTATATTCAAGTGTAACAGATTATCCAAAAAGAAAAAATGCATGGGTGGAGACTTGGTTCTATGCATCAGCTGTTGATTAGATGTTGAGATGTGGGCGTGGCATTTGGAAATGGAGGCGTGTCTAAATGTGAGCTTTTTAGGGCGGAGTTTAAGAGCAGTACATGATTGGATGAGTCCTGCACATCACACAGAGAGAAACCATGATGCATTTTATTTTTTTCAGGATTCTTTAATGAACAGAAAGTTCAGAAGAACAGCATTTATTTGAAATAGAAATCTTTAGAAACATTATAAATGTCTTTACTGGCACTTTTGATCAATTTAATACATCCTTGATCAATAAAAGTGTTATTTTTGTTTTTGGCAGTGTATCACGGTTTCCACAAAAATATTGTGCAGCACAACTGTTTTCAAGTCACACACACACACACACACACAAAACTATTACTCATCATAAAATGTTTTTCTGAAACATTTTAGTTGGATGTTCATCTAACGTTTTTTTAAACATTACTACTAGTCAATTCAGTTGGTTCAGATAGCATTAAAAAGTCTCCATAATGTCTGTAAAATTATAAAATTGAAAATCGAACCCGTAATGTTTTCTCTAACATTCACATAACCAAGAATAAACATTTTTTAAACATTTTTTATGAAAACTGAATGTTTTGAACGTTCTGAGAAGTAATGTTTTCATAGCTCAATGAGAACGTTCTTAGAACATATTTATGTGTGACCCTGGAGCACAAAACCAGTCATAAGGGTCAATTTTTTTTAATTGCGATTTCTACATTATCTGATTTTAACACGTATTCATATGGGAAAAAATGGCTATTTTATATTCTAATAATATTTCACAATTTTTACTGTACTTTGTTTTTCCAGTAAATGCACACTTGGTGAGCAAAATCATAAATATTCATTATTCCAGATTATTTATTTATGTATTTATGTATTTATATATATATATATATGTATGTATGTATGTATATATATATCTATGTATGTATGTATGTATATATATGTATGTATATATATATCTATGTATGTATGTATGTATATATATGTATGTATGTATATATATATATATGTATGTATGTATGTATGTATATAT